GATGACGGAGCTTGATGTTAGAACTGCACTTTTCAGTTTTAAATCAAACAAGTCCCTTGGTATAGATGGAATCAAAGCAGAAGACCTACGGAGAAATTATGATTTTATAAAGCACGTGCTCCTTTATATGTTAAATGGTTTCAATTTCAATGGGAAAATTCCGGATGATTTGAAGAGTGCCTTAGTAAAGCCTTTATTCAAAGGTGGAGAGCGTAAAAAACTTGACAATTACCGTCCAATTTCAATTTTACCTTGTATAGTCTAAATTTTGGAAAAACATATCCTCAATACTATGACGTCGTACCTAAATAGCTTTGATATTCTATCGTCTAGACAATATGGTTTCGTTAGTGGCCACTTCTGGAAGATTTTTCTGATGAACTGCATCTTGCTTTTGAAAGGCGTCAAGTCGCGTGTGCACTTTTTATTGATGTGGCGAAGGCATTCGACACGGTCAGCCATAGCATTCTACTTAAAAAATTGCATAAAATTGGATTCCGCGGTCCATTCTTTTCTCTACTTCAAAACTTTTTGAGCGGCCGTACACAAGTAGTCTCTATAAACAATAGACGAAGCTTCAAGGTAAATTTAAAAGCTGGAGTCCCCCACTGGGATCTATTTTGTCATTTCTTCTTTTCAATGTGTTTGTCAACGATATGTCCAACGCTGTCTCTACATGTAGACTATTCCAATACGCTGACGACACGGTGTTGCTCTCGCTCTATCTTGATTATGCTACAGCAATGACGCTACTTCAAAAAGACACGTGCTGCTTACTTGACTGGTTTAAAAGAAATCGTCTTGAGGTAAATATAGCAAAAACTAAACTTATTTGCTTTCATAATCCCCTAAGAATTATAACATTTGATCATCCACTTTACATGCATACGTCTGACTGTGCAGACAGCAACTGCTGCCCAGTGCCTTATGCAGATCAGGTTAAGTATTTAGGAATTGAGTTTGATAGTGCTTTGTCATAGAATTTTCACATGTCTTATATCTGTAAAAAACTGAGAAAGGTGTCCTGCTTACTCTATAATACAAGATCATTAATTCCTATATCAACCAAAAAGATGATAGCTCAAGCGTTAGCGTACAGTGTTTTAAGGTATGGCATAACAATTTTCGGGCATGGGTCTGTGATATGGTGCCAAAAAATTGATTCAATTTTGAAAGAAATGTTTAAGAGTATTGTCTGCTGTTCATCGTCACAAACTGAAGAAGAAAAAATAACAACTTTAGGTTTGCCACTATTCCATGCTTTATTAATTCAGACTGTTGTATTGAAATATTTTTGGAACGATGGCTATAAAGAGCCTCACACAGTGTCTAGATCACTTCGTCGGACCGAACGCTATAAAGTGCCTTTTATCACCACGAACTATGGAAAACGTGTTCGCAAGTTTTATGTGCCTTCAACCCTTAATGACTTGCCAGAAACCATATATGGTGTGAACTCTTTAAAAAAACTCAAACAAGTGCTCCAAGATTTCAATTGAACAACACAACTCTGGGTGAGTGTGTGTGCGCGTGTATGGTTTTTATTTTTACATATCCATTTATTGCATCACAGTATAGTTATTGAACCTATGTGTATGTTTGTTTTTCATCATATTTTATTTCATTCGAGAGTAGATACTGGATGATGAGCTTGATACTGATTGTGTGTGGGGATATTGTGACTATGACCTGTAGGGTGCTGTCCCACAAGCCTTTACTGGCTTTGACAGACCCGTGCCTTGATTTGAAGAAATATCTACCCAAATAAATTATTATTGTTATTATTATTGTTTTTATTATTATTACTATTATTATAACGATCCTGTTTTCGGCTCACAAGTAGTTTGTGCCAAAACAGAATAATATCGCTTTTTAGTTCGCGTTATTTCGCGATTCTCCGTGTATCTGCATAAAACTAAACACAGAACTATCATGCTCGGCGTTGCACATCCGACATTCCCAACTCTCCCCATCTTCCTAAACTTCCGTGTGTGTCCTAACACCAGAAATCGGAATATTAAACGTTGAAAACGGCACGTTGCGAATATGGAACGCACACTTTCATGCAAAGCTGACGTTAAGTGACCCAAATAAAAAAAACATGCATATTTACAATATTGTTATCTCTTCTGGTGAAGGCTCAGTAACCGTTTCATTCGTTTTCGCGCACGAAACGGTGACTCCCAGAGAAAGTAAGAACGCAGTGATTGCCTTTCTTTTAACAATGTAAACACACTTGCAGGCGTGCGCTGACTAAGAGAATTCGTGACTTCATCGATGGACAGTTTGTTAAGCGGTGTACAAGCGAGCTTAATTGCCTGGCTGAAGATAGACCAGTTTGCTTCCTCAAACTTCCAAGGGGGAGTTCGTGTAGGCACTGTAACCGGTGTATTTAGTCGGTTCATAATGATAGGAAAGTGATCGCTCCCATAGGGGTTAGGATCGACAGCCCAGGAAAAAAAAACAGCAAACAAATTGTTGGATTGCAAAGAGACAGATCAATAGATGTAAAAGAACGAGTTTGGGCACTGAAATGCGTAGGCTCTGCTCTGTTCAGCAAGAATATAGCTGTCTTAGAAAGAAAAGGCTCTATCATCGAGCCGCGTGTATCTCGTCTTCTACTACCCCAAAGAGGATTATGAGCGTTGAAGCAACCAAGAATTAGCGCAGGTTGGGATAATTGGTCGTGAAGTGATTCAAGCTCTTCACGGGATACAGGATAGCCTGGGGGAGTGTAAAGCGAACAGACGGGTATTAAATGGTCGGACAGAACACGAACTTCCACAGCTTCTAGAGTGCTATTCAGAGGGACCTCAACACATGGAGTAGACGGCTGGACAACTATAGCTACTCCACCAGAACTGTGAGATAGAAGAGGTCTGTCCCTGCGAAAAACCTGAAAGCGCCTTAGGATTTTAGAGTGACAATTGTTTAAGTGTGTTTCCTGGTGACAAAATGCTATGGGGTGATGCTGGTCTAACAGAGAGTACACGTCGTCGTAGTTTCGAAGCAGTCCTCGACAGTTCCACTGCAGGAATGCTGCCATCACGCATGAATTTGAAGAAAGACCATACATCCAAACCTGAAAATCAATTTTGATGCGGGGTGTATTTTCCTTTTTAGATGTATTCTTCGGCCTATCTATGTTACCACAGGAAGCCGCAGGTAAGGACTCCGAGCTTGAGTGGGGCCTGTCATCATTGGACTTGAGCCCACTCTCGTCCATCGGCTTAACTGGGGCTGCCTCGGGCTGACCCCTAAGGGCTTGTGACCCCGGCGGCTCACCAGGTTTTCGGGCGCCTTCAGAGGGATGAGAAGGAATTCCCCGACCTCGAGGCACCTGGGTTTTGGATGGCGCAGGGTTCGAAGAACCCTGCGCTTGAATGTACCCCGAAGCTATAGGATCCACATTTCGTGTTGGGGTTGAAGTGGTTTGTGCCACTCCGGATGGGGTTGAGGTGGACTAAGGGGGGAGGCGCAGGTCGTCCGTTGACGTCTGCGTTCCCGTTGACGCCGTCGACCACGTCGGTCCCCTCCGCGTGGCCTTGGCATACGAGCCTTCAGAAATAAAAGAATATCTTTTCCGTGCCCCTGGGTAAGAAATATTTTCTTTGACCTCCAGTGAGAGAATTTCCTTCTCTCTCTTCCGCAGGGGACAGCTGCGAGAATATGCTAGGTGTGTTCCTTGGCAGTTGACGCAAAAATGGGTATTGTTCTCACAGATGTCGTAAGGGTGGTCAATTCTTGCACATTTTGCACAGGTGGCTTTTTCTCTGCAGGTTAGTGACCGATGTCCAAAGCGCTAGCAACAGAAGCAACGTCTTGGATCGGGGACGTAGGGGCGAACTTTGCAGTTGAGATACCCGGCTTTAACTGTGGAGGGGAGCGTTGTCGAGTTGAACGTTAGCACAATGTGTTCTCTTTCCCGTTCTGCACCGTCGCGACAGATGGTGAAACGTCGCACAGCGACCACCCCTTCATCTTGAGGTCCCTCAAGTATCTCGTCGGTAGATATTCCAAGGAGATCCTCTTCAGAGATGACTCGCTGCGTGCTGCCCAGTGAGTGATGTGGGGTCACGGATACTTTGTAATCTCTTACTTGGTTGAGTGCAACAAGTGCTTTGCTTTGCTCAGCATTTGTGACCTCCACAAACAGGTCGCCAGATGGAAGTTTTTTTGGCTTTAAAAAATTTTCCAATTACAGTTTCTAGGGTCTTTGCGGCCAAGAATGGGGAAAGCTCTGCGAGTGGTTGATCTTCATTCTCCAAGTGCATTACTATAAATTTAGGAAAATTCATGACTGGCAAAGTAGGGTTTGTTGACGTTGTTTCTTCGGTACCCGGGCCCTTTTCGGGGGCTGATCAAGGAAAGATTTAGTTTTGGTACCCATATGAATGGGGAAAGGATTTCGGCACTTGCGGTGTGCCGCCCACCATGGAGCCCAACTTAGGGAGTAGTCAGCAGCCCATAACAAAATAGGCTTTGCTAGAACCGCTGATCTACTAGCACTTGCCCAGGTGCTATGCCCAAGCGTGGTTAGGATAAGGGTATCTGCCACCACACAAGGTTGGCCCTTGCCACCAAAGAAGGTGAAAGTGAAGGAGCGAAGAGGGGAGAAAAGAGAAAGAGGAGAGGGGATAGTAGAAGAAATTGCCACTAGACTGAATCATCCTGGCCGGGCCTTGATTAACAGGACTCCCGTCTATGAGAAGCGGGGGCCGAAGTGGTGTATTGCCTCAGCCGGGGGGCCCCGAAGGGTCCAAACCTGCCCCGGCCTCGGCTCAACCACAAGGATGCCCTTTTCCTCAGACACGGGAGAGCCACACACAGCCAGACGTGGGCGGGCGAACCCGCATGGCTTGGGGGTCCGTGGAGACACCACTCTCCAAACACCTGCTTTCACAGGTGCCCCCTGTGGGGGTTTGTTTTCTTCACAGGTCCAGACAAAGGCAATTTTCAATCTTCGAGCGCCTTGGTATTCCCGGACCAAGGCCGAGTCTCCTGTCTGGAAACTTGACCGAGCTGATGGAGAAGGTGAAATGTCCCTAGGCATTGCTTTCCTTAAATTTCTACTGTTTCACGGATGAAGTGCGAAGTGCCGCTATAGAAATAAGATAATTATTAATTTACAAACACAAAATGGTCGACCTGAATTTAAAAATAATTTGCTAATTAAAAAAAGGGGTTGGCGACTAGAAAGCACAAAAGGGAGACAAGCTAAAAAAATAAGAGAGTATTAAACAAAACAAAAGCCAACATAAGTTGTTTACACACACGTTTAGACTGTATTCTTTCAGAGTAAACGAGTATTAGTGAGACAATATTTAGTGCTTTCATGACCTGAAGTAGATGGCCAAGGACCAGGTAGGTGGTAATATGGGTAATTTTGGTAGACTTCTTAACAAGGTTCAGAGTAGCTGTCCAAGATAGGTGAACCTGGTATCAATCTGCATTGTGGTCGGGTTCTTTTTGAGCCTTTTCGTTTGTGGACTTTAAAATATCTCCGCAGATGGGTTTAGGAACCTAAGAGACAAAAGGCATTCGACAGGCGTTCGTAAAATCAGAAGCGTTGAAAACTGGGCCGGTTTCCGATGCTTCATGATAAAACAGAGCGCACAAAACGTACATACAATATAAGGCATGTGCAGTTATTGAGCTCTCGTCTGTCGCACGCATCTCATCTTGTTCTAAATTTCTTTTTGTGATTTGTTTCAAGATGTTAGTAAAATCTCTATATTTTAGTATTTTTCATTTTTGAGCTTTTCAAAGTTGCCTTCACGCGTGAGAAAATCCACAGCAATACGCCAATTCTAAAACATTTTTTCACTTTTTGTTGTTATGAAGGTTTTTGTTAGGTACTTGCAAGAACAGAAACACGCAGAAAACTTAAAAAGAAAATAAAGATAAGGCATCCCGAAATTTATTGCGTAAAACTTTCCATAAACGCCTTTAAGTTTTTATTAAGTAAAAGGTTGCACGGAAACACATTGTTTTAACATCTGGCCGAAAAATGAAAAAAAAAATTTGAAACTCTTTTTTTTTTCTTTTTATATAGGGTGCCGTGACGGTGTTTGCCGAGTGGATCCGCAAGTATGGTGACGTGGTTGGGTAAGCCGCCATCGGAGACCTGTTATATAAGCTTAGAAAACTTTATTTGAGTTCCGCAATTCCCTTCAAATCTTCATGTGGTGTGCGTTCGAGCACGCATAATTAAGATTTCTGAGTGGAGGCGCGCCGTCGCATAGAAAAATTAATGGGATCGATCTAAGTGGATCACTTTGTAAACGGATTCAAAGATACTTTTTTTTTTTTTAATTGGGCACCAGCAAATAATGCTCGAGTGGAAGCGTGTTTGTTTTCGGCATATGATGGGGATAGTTACTCTCTACGAGTGTTATTTATTGTCTCTATAGGCACCGTTTTCCAAACCCCACCAAGCAACATTGGGGGTCACCATTTTGTGGGTACGAGGCGTGTGATTGGATCCCGAGTCCTCGCCGAACGGCGACGCAACACTCGTTTTTGATACGAGTTGAGCCGAGTTCACGCCGTACGCTGTCGCAGACCTATACTGCCCAACGCACTATCAAAGCGCCATCCCCAACATTCCTTGGCACGGTCTCCCTGCGCCCTCTCTTGGCTATTCTCAGCAAAACGCAGTAAAATGATAATTTCAGCCAAACTACTTCAGAAATCCTTAAGTTCCCCGGGATATCTATAGAGGGCACTAATACACTCTTATTTAATACCTATTTTAACCTCAGGATTGTATACTTTTTATTCCTGGGAACCATATAATATTGTTGCATTGGGTCCTATGGGCCACCTTGACAAAATTCTAAATTTCTTCTCACTGAAATGAAGAGTCGTAAAGTTCCCGAGGAATATAATAGCTGCCGACTCATAGCACACACCGCAGTTAAAATTTCGGTATTTTAATTAATAATTTTTATTCCTCGAGACTTTCAAATTCGGCCCGCTTTTTTCCCCTGTAAAGCTAGCACTCCGCCGTGCACCAAGCAGATTGCGGCCAAGCTACATTTACATAGGCTTGTAACATTGAACGTATCTAGTAATTACGCAATTTATTCAAGGTTTTTCTTCGGAGCCTCGCCTATGTTGATCATCAAAAACTTGGACCTGATTAAAAAGATTCAAGTACACGACTTCTCCAACTTTCATGACAGAGGGGTAAGCTGTTATTATCCTCACCATTCTATCACATAAATGAGTTGCGTGTAAACATAATTACGCCTAGTTGCTTTGAGGCATGCTAGTCGCAGATTATTTCAGCAAACTTTGGAAATGCAGCATTCACCTCCTGAACTTTTTTAAAAGTTGTTTTTAGGTGGTTTAGCACGTTATAGTCAAAGATGAAGATTTTCAACATTCGAATTGAATTTCGCGTAACGAGCATTAAAACCAACATTAAAAGACTGGAAAGAAATAACGCTGAAATTAATCGTTAAAGAAATTTTCAGACGAGAAACAACAACTGCCGGAGAAGCAGGAAGCTTCAAATCAGAAACACGCTCTCAATTTGCTCTTATTTCTGGTTTCTTTACCAGAACTTTCTCAGCGTGATGCTGCGCGAGCATCACTCGTCATTTTCTTTTCAGTTATCAGTTATATGAATTCTTCAGTTATTTGAATATCCATTATCCGCAAGATTTAAGAAGACGCGGTATATGTATTCGTCCGTTTCAGATACCAGATGGCGCGCGGCTCGTGATGTGGTTGGACTCGCGACTTCTAGATGGCGCCAGTATCGAAATGTGAAAAGGCCGGCGTTATCTGCTGCGTGAAATAGATCCCCGAATCGTGTCGTGTTCTCCCGGCGGAGGAAGTTTCTCCCTCCCTCGCGCGCGCTTGATATGTCTGGTCAGTCAGTTCAGTGTGCATTGCATCGGACGTCAGTGATAATACGCGCGGTGGCCGAGTCCGGCCTCTACTCTGTGTGATGCAGTGAGCGTTTCTGTTCCGGGGTAGGAATAAAAATGTCGGTCCTCTTTTTTACGACTCTCGTTTCTATAGCTTGGGTTTTTATCTCAAGTGACGTACAGTACCGCCTTTTCGAAATCGTACTTTCCGGCGGGCGATTGAGAGCCAGGTTAGCATTTTATTTTGGTCAGCACTACACGTTCAATGAAGACTTCGGGCGGCGATGTAAATATATCTTGCTCCCCAAAGTGTGTCGAACGTGCGCAGTGACAATTGGAAATGGTATTGAAGGCACTCGACCGTCGGTTGGTGAAAGACGTGCGTTAGATTCACTTATTCAGTCTAATCACTTTTGCCAACGTATTTTGTCTCTTTCGACACATGACATGGTCGAGTCGATTGATAACCTTAGGTGGACTGAATGTACGGAGTGTCCGGGCTTTAAGTACATTTGCTTCGTTTATGTGAACTAATAACTGATTTCTCTTTTCTGAATTCGGTTCTATGCGAAAATCGCTTAGATGTTATAGCAGTGTTGTGTGGCGGCGTTTTGCACGCTGACTCATTATTGCATTCGCTGAGCACACTATGTGTTTAGATAGAATGTGTCAAATCGTATTTCTGATCGATATGATAGATTTACTTTGATACAGTGTTATTTATATTTCCCTGGTTTAAACTGGTCCGTCCCTGATCTGAGCCCAAATTCAAATTCGAGAGTGCAGACAGACTTAGCGTCGTAACTGCCGTAATTCGCAGAAACAAATTAGTACCACGAAAGAAAAACAAAAGGATACGAGGCGGCTCGGTGTTATAGGGATTCCATCGTACGTTCTTTTTCTTGTTGAACGCTCCGCATCGCTGTGAAACGCACAAAGTACTAGGGAAGACAACGGGCTGGCGTGAAATTTCCATCGAGCACGAAACGAGCGTCACTTTCGTCATGCACTTTCATTTCGAAATGGCGCAAAATTCGCGCGAAATAGTAACAGGTAAGGCAACGACGTTTAGATGTTAGGTCTGGAACACCACCAAACTCAACCGTGTTGGGGGCATCTCTCGTGAGTCCATACATCAAAGGTACTGCGCGTCGAACTGTACGTGTCAAAAAACAGTTAGGGCGCAGGCGAGCTGGTGTAAGTTTACGATTTTTAGACCACCCGAGACTGGGTGGAAGAAACACAACGACTACTCCGTTGTGTTTCTTTTACCCAGTCTCAGGTGATCTAAAAATGGTAAACTTACACCAGCTCGCCTGCGCCCTAACTGTTTTTTCATTAATCGTACCCGAGGCAGGCTTAGTCACCCTTTTCTTGTTTTGAGATGTCGTCGTGTTTTTTCCACCCAGTCTCAGGTGGTCTACAAATGGTAAATGTACGTCTGAGTTATCCAATTGAGCGAAACCTGATTTCGCAAAACTATTGTGCGTTAGAAATATGCATCGTGTTAATCAGCTATAACTTTACCCTATTTGACAAGCTGCGCGCAGTACTTGGAAGCCACGAGCGAAAAATAAATGAAAGTCGATTTTGTAGGACAATCACGACGTGGAGACCCATAAAAGAGAGTCCCGATAAGACGAGAGCTTCCCCTTTTCTTCAAATGCTTGGGTTACGCTCTCAATACCGCACCTGTGGTAACACTGCGCGCAGCTAAAATCGCATTCTTCCCTGAAAATCACGTTGGCTTTCAGAATTCAGGGGTGCTACGCGAAAGCGAGCGACATATCACGAGAACGAAGGCGAGGTGCTTCGGGCTTTGAAAACGCCCCTGATCGCAAAAACAACAGTTTTTTTTTTTTTTTTTTTGTCGAAGCACATTTTTTTTTGTCTATCTTGATATTCCATCAGCGCAAAAACTACCATAAACAAAAAATAATAATAATAAATAAATAAAAAAATTGTGGGCATACAACGACAACGCACCCACTGGGACCCGAGTAAAGGCAAAAACAACTACTAAAAGAAAGAAAAAATAAAGAAATCATGTTCGCATACAGACAGAACGCATCCATCGAGAGAATTGAATCCCGCGCTTGTTCTGCCAGTCTCGTGCTTCTGTCAAAAGCCACAAAGGAGGAAGACAATCAGTGCCTACACCCTCCCCCTCTTTCCCCCCTCCCCCCCTAAGAAAAGGAAAAAGAAAGGAAGGTTTTCGGACGCCCGCGGTCGCCCAAGCGATGACCTTGGAAGGGTATGCGATTGTAGCACGTTGGCCCCGCGGCAGTACCCCTCTCTGAAATGCCACGGTCCGTTTCTCCCAAGTACCAAAGTCCCCGTCTTATCTGCCCCGAGTATCAACTCCGCAGTGATTCTGAATCATTACGATGCTTTTTAACGTTGCAAAACTGTTAGACGAATATTTGCACACAAGTATACACTACTTGTTCGTGAGCGCGTTGGTAAAGTATACACTGTTCGCAGAACTATCTACAGTGCTAAAATTCAAAAGCGCTGTGTTGGATTCGGGAACTTGTGTAGGTTTAGCTCATTGTTGGAACATTCCCGTTCACACTTGCGACCGAGTACGACTGAGAGAGACGAGATCTCTTAAAACTTGTTAAATGTTTTTAGGATAAGGGAACACACTGGCATTGTGGCGCCATCTATGCGGTGACCCTGGAACTGCATTTCACAAGAGCGAAGGTTTTGCGGGATTTCCGAGGTCAAATGTCCGTAATACCCACAGAAAGGCTCGTTTATATCATTGACAAAAGCTTTTCGAGCCAAGAAAGAAAGGATAATGCGCGAGAAATAAAAAAAAATATGCCGGACCGCCGAGTTTACACTGCACCCCAATAGATGGCGCCAGTGTGTTTTCTGGTTTAAGAAGTTTTAAGGAACCCAGGTTTAAGAGGTCGCAAGAGTGTGAACGGGCCTTTATTCACTCGATGAACTCCACAAAACTTGTAAATATTAAAATAGATTTTCCAGAGAATGATATTAGTTGTCGGGGCCCTAGGCGACCGGATGGTCGCAATTCTTGGTTGATTTAATATTTTATTTCATAATCACAATCGTATCATCAAGGGCTAAGTATCTTTTCTTTGTATTTTGGTGTTTAAAGTGTACATGGTATAATAGAGGTAGATTTAATTAGCAGCAGGGTACTGGATTTAGATTAGCCTGGGTGGCCGGGCGAGCCATGAGAAGGTAGAGTAGGGTCGGTCTTTGTGTAGATTTTGGCGGGCTTTTTCTTTGTGATAGACACGCGAATTTTTGAGTAGCTATAGGCGATGAATAGAAAAGAGAAGATAAAGGGAGAGTGCAAGCGGTGGTGCTACTTAGAAGAAACGGACTTCAAGAGCGTAGCTGAAGTAGGGAAAGGCACTTTCGCTTGCCAACTTTGTGAGAAGATTGACGATACTAAAGCGAGAGTGGAAAGATAAATTCGAAGAGATGAAGGAGGAACTGAAGGAATTGCGGGAAAAGCGGGTCCTGCTCGAGGCACAGGTCACTGAGTTGAAGAGGGGGGAGCCCGAGGTGAAATGGCAGGCTGAGCTTAACGAGGAAAGGGAGAAGCGGGCGGAACTTGAGAAGCAGGTGGAGGAGCTCAGGCAGGGGGAAGCGTGGAAGGCAGGGCTAGAAGAGGGAAAAAAGGAGTGCGAGGATAGAGTGGAGCGTGTCATTGGTGTAATTAGAGAAGGGGAAGAACAGGGAAGGACAAGCAATGATGGCAGAATTACAGGGCATTCTCAGAGTAGAGGTCGAGAAGATGGTTGACCTACAAGTACAGTGGGAAGAGATGAAGAGGGAGCCGACAGCGACGGTAGTGCCTACGGTTCAGGGGGCCAGAAAGTAGGGAGCGAGCAGTGCGGGCACGAAGGAGGTTCCTAGGACCTATAGTGAAGCCGCGCAAAAAGAGAGGGAAACGGCTGGATTGGTAGAGCCCAACCTGCTACCGGTGGTAAATGCAGAGGGTAGCAGCGTAGCGCCAGGAGAAAGAGGGCAGCCGTCGGCCGGTAGGAGAGTCCTAATAGTGGGAGACTCCAATTTGGCAAGGATCGTAGAGGGAGTGCTAGGCAAGGTGAAGGAGGACAAGAGGGTGTGAGTAGATGCCCAGCCAGGAAAATACATGGTAGATGCCATTGCCAAAGCAGAGGAGGTATTGTGGGACAACATGGAGGGGGAAAACCTAGTGTTGATCCACGCAGGACTCAACGACGTGTTGAACGGGAGGAGCCAGAACCTGGGAAGCAAATAGAGGCAGGACTGGGTAAATTAAGAGCGGTCAGTGAGAGGGTGAG